CTGTCATTTCCCCTTCTAGGGTTAGGGTTAGGGTTGGGGTTTCAACCCGATTCGACTCGATTCATTCATCTCCTTCTAAATGCTGAAAACTGATACTACCCTAGGCTAGATCTACAACCTAACCTGGCTCCGATACCATTGATAGTGGATTAGGATCACTTAGCTGCAGATCTAGCGGGTATAAACTTGCATTTGGGATAAAATCACCTAGAACAAGTACTGGAGGAGAGAGGGAGAGAAGAGATGGGGAAAAAGGACATGTTACCGTCCATCCATAGGCTTGGCAGAGGAGGAGGCCATGGAATCGGTGGCGAGGTTGACGCCAGAGTGAGTGGCTTCGATGAAGGTGCTGAGGTGCTCGTCCCAGCGGCATAGATCCAGTGGTGAGGGTGGTGGCGAATGTAGTGGCGCTTTCCGTCGCTGTCAGCGCTACCCTCTGGATCGGATTAGGGTTAGGATGTCGGTGGGAACTAGCGGCCGCAGTGAACCTCATGTCTCGAGTCCCAGCCCCCACCTCTTATTCATAGCGTTACGCGACGGGGGCCCACCAGCCAGGAAAACAGGCACCCCCAATCAGGGCGTGAATCAGGGTCCGACTCGGTCGTTGGACCGAGCCGAGTGGAGATCAATCTAACAATTACAACTAGTTGAAATAAAGTTTTCCCCAATAAAAAATTAAGTCCCAAACGCCAAAATAGGGCATTCAGGGTATATGATGCCCACAAAAATGTATACCATCTCAAATAGAAGAAATACTCTTATGTTATTAAACTACTTGTCCTCATGAATCTATAGTATTATTATGAACCTTAAGGCTTGTACAATAGGATTTTTTCTTAGACGGAGGAGTGAAAGATGCCATGTATAGTAATTAACAGACATTTTGTCAGTACGAGAGAAAACTCTTATAAACGTCATTCTCCGCATTGTAAAGATGTGGTTCGTTGTCTAGGACCACATACAACCATTGAATGATATATTTAGGGCACATTTAATTTGGTTGTTGCCCACACATGTCCCGCCAAAACCAATTTGGACGGCCAAGGTCTGGCCCAGGAATCGACCACCCTAAATTGGCATGGAATCGGCTAGAAAATGAAATACGCATGAGCTATTTGTATAACATCATGACAAATTGCAGCGGCTGGTCTCAATCCAAATGCAGTCTTAGTCCCCGTTTGGTTGGGCTGTAGTTTTTGAAAAAACTGCTATGATTTGAATGTCTGACTTGTCCATTTTGTTGTCTATAAATAAGATAGAATCTTATTACACCGTATTGTAAAACAAGAACCTTGAAAAGTTGACTTATGGCAAAACACAAAATCGCTTATATTTGCGACCCAAGACAATGATAATAGACAAAATTTGCTCCTAGATGCTGAAAGGTCCATTTTCGATGTCGTCCACCAGCAAAGGGAGCTCACTTTCAAGTTCAGGAGCAAATTTTGCCATGATAATAATAACATTAAAAGAAACAGCTAGCCCTAGTTATGATTTATCTTAACGTTGACATAAATAACATTAGCCACTTCAAATGTTTATGTACTTGCAGTGCAATCCTGCCATGGATTTACCGAGAACCATATGGCAACTGGTCTTTGCTGCCTTTTCCATCGCCATAGTAGCAGCGACCAAGATTACAAGACGACGACGACAACAATCAGCTGTCGCCGGTCCAACGACAACAAAACGCCCACCTCCGCCCGTGTCTCCGGGGTCCCTCTTCTCGGCGACCTACCAGCGCTGCTCATCAAGGGCCCATTGGCACTGATCCGCGATCACTACACGAGGCTGGGGACTGGGGAGCGTTTTCACCGTGCGCCTGTTCCGCCTGAAGCTCACCTTCCTGGTCGGGCCAGACGTGTCCAGCCATTTCTACCGGGGCCTGGATTCCGAGATCAGCCAGGACGAGGTCTCTCGGTTCACCATCCCCACCTTCGGCCCTGGCGTCGCCTTCGACGTCGATTACGCCACTCGGCATGAGCAGTTCCGGTTCTTCGGCGACACCTTGAAGCCGGTGAAGCTGACACTACCGAAGACGACTTTTTTACCGAGTGTCCCACACTTTGCCGAGTGTTTTTTATCGAGCACTCGATAAAGAGGTTGTTTATCGAGTGCCAGAGATAAAGCACTCGATAAACAACTAATACTTAGACAAAGAGGTGGTTTTGCGAGTGTCAAGCACTCGGCAAACAATAACACTCGGCAAAACTGGCTTTGCCGGGTGTTATTCTTCTGACACTCGGCAAAGGGCCGCCGCCGTTAACGGCCGACAGCCGCCATTAACTCTTTGTCGAGGGTCTTCTTCTGACACTCGGCAAAGTGGTGATTTGCCGAGTGTCATTTTTTTTACACTCGGCAAAGCGGTTAGTTACCGAGTGTCATTTTTTGACAATCGGCAAACCATATATTTTTTTCACTTTTGACCTCAAATTTTTCTGTAGTCCTCATACAATATCTGGTGCTCCATGTTCCAATGTGACATATTTCTCGGATTTTTCTATATTTCTTTAATTTATTTTATTTAATTAAATTTTTTTGAATAATTCAAATTATAACTGCTAGTCATTCGAATAATGAAAAAAATGAATGGAAAATGATATTCATGTTTTTAGTATAATGTGAGGCCGTATCCAGGATCAGATCAACAATTTCGAACATCTTGTTCACAAAACATGACCACGAACTCGCGATCGAGTTGTTTTTAAATTTTATAAAAAGCAAATGAAGTCCGAAAATCATGAAACTTGTCAAGATGTCATATATCATATGTGGAGGCTGTGATAAAATTTGAGAATGTTTCGCGTAAGTTGTCACTTACGATGCTTGCAAACCGAAGAATCTCCGAAGAAGTTTCATGATTTTGTGAAGAGGCCGACGAGGTCGTAAGCATCGTACGTGACAAATTTGCGCGAAACCTCCTTAATTTTTTATCACAGCATCCACATAAGATATCATAACATCTCGACAAGTTTCAAGATTTTTGGTCTTCGTTTGCTTTTTATAGAATTTAAAAACAACTTGACCGCAAGTTCGTGGTCATGTTTCGTGAACAAAAATACAAGATGTTTGAAATTGGTGGTTTGTTCCTGAATACGGCCTCACATTATACTAAATAACATGGATATCATTTTCCCATTCATTTTTTCATTATTCGAATGACTAGCAGTTATAATTTGAGTTATCCAAAAAAATTCAATTAAATGAAATAAATTAAAGAAATATAGAAAAAGTCCGAGAAATTTGCCACATTGAAACATGGAGTACCAGGTATTGTATGAGGGCTACAGAAAAAGTTTGGGGGTAGGAAAAAAAATAAAAATGGTTTGCCGAGTGTCTGCGTTTGGCAACAAAGAATTTTAATTTTTTTTTAAAAAAATCCCTCTTTGCCGAGTGCCAGACCAGGTGGTACTCGGCAAAGAATTTGAAAAAATACTTTGCCGAGTGCTAAATTGGAGGCATTCGGTAAATTTTTGCCGAGTGCTAGATTGGAGGCATTCGATAAATTTTCAATTTTAAAGAAACCCAGTGCCAGACCAGTTAGACACTCGACAGAGAATTACGCCGGATCGGAGGCACTTTCGGCAAAGGGATTTAAACACCCCCCCCCCCCACACACACGGGACATCTAATTATTTGCCACTCTTACGGAGGCCTTCTCGATTGCCAACTTTGTGGTGGCAACTACAAAAATGTCTCGAAAATAGTAACTCGCCTAATTTTTTGCCATTTTTTTTGCGACGTGGCATGCCGAGATCGGCACGACCCGGCTTAGGGCAATCGGTCGTTGGCGTCAAGACCACGAAGGCAAAAACCATTCGCTTCACCAGATATTATTTAACGAAATTTTATCTCCCCATCTGCTTTCGAAAAATCTTTTGAAGGATCTCGAGGGCTAGGCGCAAATATAGTTGGTTGGACGGTTGAATAGCCAACAAAGATGACGTGGCTCTGGCGGCCAGAGTACGTGGGCGCATCTTGATTGGAAGATAAAAGATGATGTGGCCTCAACATGACTTTGGTTGACCAACGGTCAAGATGAAATTGTGGCCGTCGATTTGAAACGGATGGCCAAGAGGAGCCTCTGCTCTGGTTGTCTTCTACAATGAGGGACGTCGGTAGTGGGTGCTCCGTCGGCGGGGGCTCGATTCGTCGGCCGGGATTCTGGACTCAACTGGCTCCGTGGGGATGTATGTTGGTGGTCCTCTTTGTCGCCAGAATGGCTCGGGGTGGTCTGGAGACTGACGAACAGCGAAGAGGTGCCCGGTGGTGTGGCGGAGCTTCGGTGGAGTTCGGCGATATCGGCGATGAGGAGTAGCGGGGTGAGCTCGTGGCGACCCTGCGGTGCCGGCGAAGAACCGATCGAGTCCAGAGGTGGTGGGAGGTGGGAGATCACGAGCTCGAGCCGACCCGGCAATGGCGGCGACGGCGAAAGTTGGGGGTGCTGGCGCGGGAAAGAAGTTGCGGGAAGGGGCGTAGGAGCAGCAGCGTGCACTTGCGACCTCGTTCCAGTTTTTATAGGGAGATGAACGATGAACGTGGACGGGAATGAAGCTCGGTTCATTGCCATCAATGGCGGCCGGAGTAACGGACAGAGGAAATGGAGGAACGTCCATTTGATGTAGGGATATTGAAGAGCAACGTTATAGCAGCACTATTGTGGAAGAGCAACGTTATAGTAACACACACAACGCACACACGCACGCAGGCAGCTGACCGCGCCAGCGCAGCCGCCGCCGCCCCCGCCCGCGCCAGCGCCGCCCCCCGCGCCGCGCCGCCGGAGGAGGAGGAGAAAGAGAGGAGGAAGAGAAGGAGGAGGAAGGAGGAAGAAGGAGGAGGAGGAGGAAGGAGGAAGAGAAGGAGGAGGAGGAAGGAGGAAGAGAAGGAGGAGGAGGAAGAAGGAAGAAGGAGGAAGAGAAGGAGGAGGAGGATGAAGAAGAAGTCATCCATAGAGGCTGCGCCCGCCCGAACCTCCGGCCCCGCCCAACGCGCCGCCGTCCATGAGCTTCCTCGCCGGCGGGTACTTCCTCCAGGAGTCAAAGAGCGCCGTCGGCCGCCTCGCGGAGAAGCTCCCGCCGTCCGCTTCGGCGCCCGGGGGTGCGTCGGCGCAGCCCTCCCCCGACGTGCTGCCGGAGATCCTCCGCCACTCCGTGCCCATCAAGGGGACGCCGCCCCCGGCCGAAGCCTCCCTCTCCGCGTCCTCCCGCTGGGCCCTCCCGCCGGGCGGCGCCGAGGCTGCGGGCTTGCACCCCGACGCGCTCAACCCGCTCCGCTCCTACGTCTCGCTGCCGCAGGCCACCTTCGGCCCCAAAAGGTAGTACGCTCCTCCCCACTCGTGCCTTTTCCCGAATTTGAAATTCGTCGTTCGGAGTAGTTTTCTGATTTCTGGCATTCCGGGTGCGCGCGTTCACGCGTATGTACCGAAGTGATTAATTTTGTACCCGATTGTCCATGCATCATGCTTGGAACTTGGATACACGCTCAAGCAGTTCTTCAATTGAGGAGTTGTGATTGCTACATACGGGTGCAAGTAACTATCAGAAAAAAAAAATCTGGAGCAACATTATGCATAATGCAGTGTAAACAGGCTTTTGCTTTCGTATGGAAATGATTTTCAAATAGATTTATACCATCGGATGCACTGATCTATATGCTATCTTGTATGGGCCAGTTCAGAATATATAATTCGATATCTATTGGTTACATGTCCAACATGTGTGATTACAGCAGAAAACTACACTACACGAATTTGCTAATTGCTATATTCAAAGAAAGTTAGTATTAACATTGATTAACGCAGTTATTCATCACGAGCACAGGTCTCAGTTAGAAAAGGCGTTTTCATTTGTTAGTCTAATACAGCTATAGGGATTTTAAGTATTCTCTTCGTTTCAAATTATAAGATGTTTTGGCTTTTCTAGATACGTTGTTTTTTTGTCTTTTCTAGATACTATATATAGGCATAGTGTATATCTAAGTGCATAGCAAAAGCTATGAATCTAGAAAAGTCAAAATGTATTATAATTTGGATGGAGTATTTCAGATTATATCTGAATTTAACATATTTTTTTAATAAAAAAAACTTGACCATGGAGAGAAGACATCCTGGCTGGTTGTGTCTTGAATCTTGAGTGAGGGAATGCTGAACCCTGGCTAGCTGGAAAACTTGCTGAAACCTGTTCTCAGGGACAGGGAGGTAACCATGCAACCTCTGAGCACTGGGATTCGAGGTTGGTTGGGCAGCCTCTCTGCTGGAGGCTGTTCTAACTTGAGCTATCACTTGTTTCTCAACCTGATTATAACTTCGAAGGGTACCGCACTTCTGAATTATTTTCTTGCCTAAAAAAATTGAGTTCAAGTGTTCTTGAAGATCTTCTGTTCTTATTTTGGATTGTTACAGTTGGGAAGGCATTCATTGCTGCAACCTTTTTGGTGTTTGGAGGAGCAACAGCTGTGATGTTGTACACAGCAGATAAGCTACAGTTGCATTCAGTAAGTCATGTAATCTGAACAACATATCTGAGGGAATGTAAGACCTTTTAATGAAAAGAAAAGTACAATGTGCCAGAATTTAAATAATAATGCTAAGCTTCTGCCTAGAGGGTAGAGCATGCTCTTCATTTGCTTTGTGTAAACCCAATGAGTTGTGTCAGGGTTTTGTCGTTGTTTATTCATTGTTATCTCTTGATTCCTAGTTACTTCTTTTGTCTTTCTATCTTTAGTTCTTGAATGCTGCTCTCTTCATTTTGAAATTGCTGATTTGTATGGTTCTCACTATGCTACAAACTTTCGTTGCACAGGGATGAGAAAAATGGGTCCTAGCATTCTTTAGTGATCCATAATCATGCAGAGTCAATGTGGAACTTTTTTATTATTTAATCCTATAAGTAACATCCTCCTTGCCACTCTGAATGGCAATAGGGCATAGGAGCCCTTGCTAGACTGTTCTGTTTGCCACCAATGGGGCCCTAGCTAACAAATTCATGTTGGAAATAGTTTGCCTAGGAGTTTATTGTTGAAATAAGCTGTGGATATATTTATGTGATGAAACTTTGGATGTTAGCCTTGAGGCTGTCAAGGGGTTCTTAAGTTCAATGGTAGTGATATTAGTCTCAAAAATTGGAAATTTGAAATAATATGGTTTCACATGGATAATGCAATGATAAATCAAGTTTCTCCTTTGCCATTATACTAGTATGAACTAGCCAAATTGGATTTCTTTCGTCTCGTGGGCAAAACATATTATTTAACAAACTCTTGAACATTTGATATTAACTCAATCCTTAATAGGAGGAGCAATGAAGAAGATGAAACCTCCTGCATTCAGGATAAAAAATCCAAGTGTCAAGTAGCCCCTCTGAAACAACTCTTGTTTCTCCTTTCAGGTAGATGACGTGAAAACCAAAGGAAAAGATGCACTGCAGCCACGAGCTGATATGATTAAAGAACAAATAGCTCCATTGAGAAGCTGGGTAAGTGAACTTCTGCTATTCTTGTTCTGGCTAAACAATTGCTTATTGTATTTCCCTTCAGTTTTGTTCAAGTTTGCTTTGGGGCTGTCAGCTGTGGACTATTGTGGGTCTGTGACAATATTGACTTACCATTCCATGTATTGTAACTGCAGGCTGAAGAAATGTCCCGAAAATGGCATTTCGAAGGCAATAAAGAAGCAAAGGAGAAGTCTGTCATCATTAGAGAGCTTTCAAGAGCTCTGGGCTCCAGGACTACCCCTAGTTGATCAACAATGACAGACGGCTGCTGTAAATCCACCATTATCAAGTCATCCACTTTGTTGTATGCGTCGTTATCGTTTTCCATATGTTTGTGTATAGGAAACAGTACATCCTGAGATATATTGACCAAACTGAATCGATATGTACAATATTGATAGTTTGGGCTTTCTGATAGAGGAGATTGGGATCCAAGTCCATATGATATATGATGGAGCACTTGGATTACTTGTGAACTTATTTGTGATATATTGTGAGACATGTGACGTTTGTGATATATATGTGACGTTTGTGATATATATGTGGTGTTGGTGATATATATGTGATGTTGGTGATGTTTGTTATATATATCTTCTATTTGTTTGGATGGGACGTAAAAAACAAATAAAAAATGCTGTTTTCAGTCACTTTGTCGAGTGCAATGGCCATAACACTCGTCAAAGTGACTAACTGGGAATATGCTTTGCCGAGTGCAAAGGCCATTGCACTAGGCAAACATCATAGATTTGCCGAGTGCCACGGGCCAGGCACTCGGTAAAGGTCGCCTGTTTGCCGAGTGTCTTGACAGGACACTCGGCAAATAGGCTACCTTTGCCGAGTGTCTTGCCGGTGGCACTCGGCAAAACAGCGACCTTTGCCAAGTGCTTGACCTTGACACTCGGCAAAGCCGCCGTCACGGTGGCGCTCGCCATCACAACGACTTTTCTTTGCCGAGTGTCAGATTAGCACTCGGCAAAGGCTTTGCCGAGTGCCTAATAAAGTGCACTCGGCAAAGAGGTCTTTGCAGATCAACTGTTTACCGAGCGCCCTTTGCCAAGTGTAAGTCTTTGCCGAGTGTATATCGGTCTTTGCCGAGTGTCTGAGGCACTCGGCAAAGAAGCCGCCTCCGGTAGCGTGAGAACCTATGTCAGCCTCATGGTTCGTGAAGTCGAGGTAAGCCAGCATGCATATCGACCTATTCAGAATACATTAGTACGTTGCACAAGAAAATTTCGTTCGGTTCTCGATCGCATGAATTTCTGCTGTGCATATCGTGCAGAGTCATTTTGCGAGGTGGGGACAGTCCGGCACCGTTGATCTGAAGCAGGAGCTAGAGCACCTGGTGACGCTCATCGCCAGCCGGTGCCTGTTCGGCGCCGCCGTCCGGGAGAAGATGTTCAGCGAGGTCGGGTCGCTGCTCCGCGAGCTCAACGACGGCGTGCGCCTCGTCACGATCCTGTTCCCTCACCTGCCGATCCCCGCGCACCGCCGCTGCGACGCCGCGCGCGCCAGGCTAGGCGAGATATTCACCGAGATCGTCAGGTCCCGCAAGAGCCGCACCGAGGACGGCGGCCGGGCCGACGACATGCTGCAGTGCCTGCTCGACGCCCGGTACAAGGACGGCCGCGGGACGACGGAGACGGAGGTCGTCGGGATGCTCGTCTCCGCGCTCTTCGCGGGGCAGCACAACAGCTCCAGCGCGGGCACCTGGACCGGGGCGCGCCTCCTCACCCACACCAAGCACCTTCGCGCCGCCGTCCAGGAGCAGCGGCGGGTCGTGGCGCGGCACGGGGACCGCGTCGACTACGACGTGCTGCAGGAAATAGACACCCTGCACCGCTGCGTCAAGGAAACCCTGCGCCTCCACCCTCCCGCGCTGATGCTGCTCCGCCACGCGCGGCAGAGCTTCGCCGTGCGGACCAGGGACGGCCGCGAGTATGAGGTGCCCGAGGGCCACGCGGTCGCCAGCCCGCTGGTGCTCCACAACAGGCTGCCGCACATCTACGACGAGCCGGACAAGTACGACCCGGATCGGTTCACGCCCCGGAGAGCGGAGGACAAGGCCAGCGGCGCGCTAGCCTACTTGTCCTTCGGCGCCGGAAGGCACCTCTGCGTCGGCGAGGCGTTCGCGTACATGCAGCTTAAGTTGATATGGAGCCATCTGCTGAGGAACTTCGAGATGGAGCTGGTGTCCCCGTTCCCCAGGACGGACTGGAACGTCGTCATGCCAGGGCCGCAGGGGAAGGTGATCATCAGCTACAAGAGAAGGCACCTGCCTACGACAGACTGAACATAGAGCTGGCTTGTTTGGAAAGCAGGAATATCTCACGAAAAACTACGCGCGTCGTTAGACATGTTACGTGGAACAAAGTGTGTATTTTGACGATAAAGGGCTATTAGTTTATATTGTCCTCATCATCGTCTCTCCAGTTTACATGTATAGACAGTAAGCTTTTGAAAAATGCATAACTTACAATGTATATAAAAAAACCCAAAATGTCTTATAATTTGGAGAGGGAGTAGCAAACAATTCGGCTTCGAGTATTGTCAGCCCAGTCTTCTAAGAAGCTTATGAGTCTGTGTGCTTGTGTTCATAAGGGTGAGTGTGCTTACGTTATAAGCGTCTATGTTGTACTGTGTCATTAAAAAAAAAGACATGTACTATAACTATGTGCTGACATGCTTGTTCCCAAGTCATTAATTCCGACATTTTCATGCTCTGAAAAATAAAAACTTACCAGAGATCTAGATAAACCAGGGAATTCGGTACATGGACCTTTAATTTCTACTAACCTGCCTTACATCAATCATGTCATTTTAAAAATATCAAATTGTGAAAATTATCAGTATATGTGCAAATATAGAAGGGTACCGAACTAGTCAAAACTCTCTAGTTCCAAATGCCTTCAGTTCTTGCAGTCTGTATTGCCAGTATGAAGATTTTTGCTATCGACAACTGGTAAAATAACTAGTCAACATGCTTGCACTTGCTTGCAGGCGCAGCTCCGGCACAAGCCTGGTGAAAAGAATATATACACAATGCTGCCGGTATTTTCCCCCCACCACGATGTTCTGTAAGATTCAGCGATACAACATAGCCATTCTGAGTACCCAATGCAAGATTTCTTCTGTGTATGTGTTCTAAACCAAAATGGCTGCTGCAACTATAAAACATCGAGGCAACGGATGCAGTAACGGTCAAGGATTTTCGAAACAAGACTGCTGGGTTCAGGCACCAGTGCAGATGTGATGCCATTCCAAAAATGGAAAGTCATAGAGTCATTCACGATCCTAGAAAAGATTGCATCATGATGTGCTTTTTGGACCATGTTATCTGGCTCTGAGAAATATCTGCAGCACAACAACATCATGGTGAGTATGAATATCTTGGATCCGTAACTAGTACTCAGCTTCCAGCCAAACATATGAAGAGGTACATAAAAGAAATAAATATAAGGAACATGCCATTCAGGATTAAAAAAATGAGGATAAAAGATTGATACAATAGATACAGAATATTATAGTTTGAAATTATCTTTCTGGTTGAGATGGACAACAAAAAACTGTTAATCTAGCTTCTGGATAGTAAAATTGACAAATAGGTATTGCAAGCACATATGGATGAATTGAAATCATACCGTATAATATCAGTAGAGCTTATAGGGTAAAATTTAACAGAGGGCTCAAACTTAATGTCAAGATGCCCCCTATTTTCATCTGCTTTGCTAGAAAGATTGCTTAAAACTCTTGTCATAAGTTCAGCCCCATTCCACTGCACGAGGGTATCATCATATGTCGAATAAAATTCCTTAAGGCACTCCTCCAATAAAGGGCTGCAACCAGCACAAGCTAAGTGAGAAACTCTAAACGTGCACGAGCATAGCCAGTCAATGATGTAGTTGTTCCAATCTGACACCTATTTACAAATGATTTTTTTTAGTATCTTAGTGTTGTAAAAGAAAAGGATGGATATTGTCCAATGTTTCTGTGTGAATCAATAGAACATTAGTAGATGTGGATTTCATCTGTTTGTTACGTGATGCTACAAAATGAGTTAAATGTAGTTTTATCCAAAACTGAACCAGCCTCCTTGCAGAAATGAATGGGTAACAAGTCTGTCTAGAGCTTTCAGCACTGGGTATAGCCTTTTTTAAAAGTTTTCTTCAATATAAAATAATGGTACACTTTTACCTCTGTTTTTCAAATGCTAACACAGCAGCACCAAAACTGGAATTTCCAGAGACATCATTTGTGGCACCAATAGAATTCCGGAGCGATGTTAAAGGTTTAAGTACAATAACATCAGAGTCAAGGTATATTCCACCATATCTGCACATAAAGCATAAAGAAATAAATTAATCATATCAGTCACAAAGCAAGGGGAACAAATAATGTTCTCAAGAGTCAAGATTACATTTATGTTCCAAAGTTTGATGAACACCAGTGTCACATTCATCAATGTTCATGAAAACATATGTACCATATTACAGGTTTCATAAAAGCAATATTGAAGCTATTTAGTGCAAGAAAGTTCAGACATTATTTGCCGATCAATTATTTTCTCTATTTATGGGAAGGTTGGTAACGATTTGTATGGTTTATCTCTTTTTTCTTTGAGGGCAATGTTTTAGTCTTACATTATTCTCTATTGTTCAGCCGAGCAGCTCTGAAAATAAGGACATTATCTGTAGATGGCATCTCATTGTCTAAAGTTAACTAAAACAAATGGGTCAAGAACTGAGAATCAGTGGGTACAGCTAAAGTTTACTTCACAACTATAAGGGGATCTAGTAGTAATAATTTGAGGGCACAACTGCATCCATTAAGAGGGTGCTTCGTTTGACAGGCCACCTAATTCTAGGACTAGTTATTCCATCATGGGATCCGCTGCTCACTTTTGTAGGGTCACAATAGTCCAAGTTTACGTACAGCCTTGTGCTTGTGAGGGAAGAGGTGGGGACAGGAAACACATTCCATTCCCCAAACCAAATCAGCTGGTAAGGTTCAGGATTAGGACAGGAAGCACATTCCATTCCTTAAACCACCTTTGTCAGATTCTCTGCTGCTTGTCAACAGACCTTCTAATTCAGGATTAGGACCGGAGGATGCTTGATTGTGCATAGTTATTTGTAAAATAAAACTGGATTTCCAGCTGGTGATTTCCCTTTATGATGTGTACTCAAACCAAGTTGCACAGTCTGAGCTGATAAAGAGTGCTAGATTAATCAAAATCGTTAAAATTCTGTTTCCTAAGGTAACTATTTTGCCAAGAGCTACTGCAAAGGATTTCTCTCCTCAAATATAAAGATGCAGCATTATCTCTCAAGACTCGATAGTATTTTTCTAATAGAATGTTAAGCAGACAACGCATGCCTCCCAACTTCCTGAACTAATGTACTGTAATTCTTATATCATCTTACTTGTAAAGAGCAGCAAGGCGTACTAGCTCACTGTAGTGCAAATGGTAATATTTTGTCTGCCGCCATTCATACCACACTGATGCAAATACATGGGTTGGAGTGCTTTCTAAAAGTTCATCAAGATTTGGCACCGCAACAGCAACTTTATATCTGCAAGAGAAATAAACTTTATAATTAAAAATGCACACGTACACATGGATGTAGCTAGAACAATTACAATTGATAAACAGGATTACAGGTAAGGCTCATAGCATTAGTGCATCTCATGCAAAGTCCATACAAGTCACAATGTCTAAATTTTTAAGTGAATAGTTGAGTTAGCTTAATTATATAATTGAGGTTCAACTGAAAATGCACCATTTGGCTCCTGCAGTTAGTAGATAGTGACAATACAGTTCCATTAATGTTCCAACAAAGAATACACTGCCAACTATGACTTGCCACAAAGCTAATGTTAAATGGTTCCTTTTTTCTCTGGAAAGAAAAACACACTAGATGCTAGTCAAGCGATGGGGTGTCTGCTAGTGTCTGAGGGCTGCTAAGCAGACCAGGTTGCTGGTTCCTAGTGCCTATGTTCTGCATAGACAGGATAGACAACCGCCTTTTAGAATAGTGGCAGTAAATAAACGGAAATTAAGATAAAATGTCATTCCAATTACAAAAGTTACTAGTTGCACTACACTAGCTCATGCATAGCAATCAGTCTCTATACAGAACCATAAACAAGTAAGCAATATAATGTGAATCTTGTTGGCCTAACTTCCTGGACCACAATCATAAAACTGCAGATTAAAGGGCCCTGGACAAGAAACGGCGTGGGTTCCTTTGGAAGGGGCAAGAGCAAGCTAACGGTGGTAACTGTTTGGTTGCTCCCAACCTTTTCAAGTCGATTCCTAGAAGAATTGCCAAGCGAGGGACTGTTAAGGAGGCTTTAACCAATAGAAGTTGGGTTCTTGATATCAAAGGGGCTTCAACTGTACATGTGATCCTTGATTACCTGACCATTTGGGGGCTAGTGGACAATCTGGTTCTGGACCCGGCTGTCCCTGACCAGCACATTTGGCGTCTTTCTGAGAGTGGTATTTACAGCAGCAAGTCAGCTTATGAGGCCTTCTTCTTTGGTGCAATAAGATTTCCTCCCTGGAGACGGATTTGGAAGAGTTGGGCTCCCATGAAGTGCAAGTTCTTCATTTGGCTTGCTGTAAAAAATCACTGTTGGACCGCAGACCGCCTCACGAAACGTGGTTTGCCTCACCCAGCTGTCTGCCCTCTCTGTGACCAGGCCGAGGAGACCGTCCAGCACATTCTGGTGGCATGTGTTTTTTCTAGACAGGTCTGGGCAGTCATTCTTCACAAGCTTGGCCTTGGTTCCTTGGCGCCCCAACCATCTGTTACCAGTTTCTCCGGCTGGTGGTGCAAGGCCATTAAAGGTTTGCCAGAAGACACAAAGAAGGGTCTGAACAGTTTGATCATTTTGGGTGCCTAGGAAATTTGGAAACATAGGAATCATTGTGTCTTTGAGGGAGGTAGCCCTTGTATTCAGTTGATGCTCCAGAATGTGAGAGAGGAATGTGGTCTCTGGTGCTCTGCTGGAGCCCGAGGCCTCAGCAGATTGCTATCCTCTTCCCTTGTGTTGAGCTGAGTTGGGTTGTGTGTGTTTGCTGGTTTACTCGTTTTTTTCTTTTCTTTTAGTTTTGGTGCTGTGTGGGTTTTTGGGATTGGTCTCTTGACCCTCCCTTTGTAACATTCTGGTGGGGGGTTCAGGATTAGTCTTTGACCTCTCCCTTGTAGCTCCCTTTTTTCTTCTTCTTAATGAAATGACACGCAGCTCTCCTGCGTCGTTCGAGAAAAAAAAAGGGGGAGAGCAGATTTGGCGCCCTCGTTAGCTAAAATAACATGTTGCAATGTTTCAAAAAATCATCACAAAAATCATGCATGTAGTACACATAAAGTTAAGTATAGTTGTAACAATTCAGTTTGAAATTCACCTGTTGCCCAAGAACACAAAATAGATATCAGATTTAGTAAAGCCCAGAGGGCAGCTTGGCCATAGGCCGCTTGGATTGAATCTGAAATTGCAATGGCTTGGAATACAAGATGGTCTGCCACTGCTTATATAGCAAAGTGGCTTTACCTACTCTAGCATATTCTGTTGCATAAAGCAGATGCCTAACTTGGGTGCTAAGACACCTGAAATTACTTAGACAGTGAATAGTAAAAGCAGGAAAGTAAGATACAAGCAGCTAGGCTTAACTGTCATCACCCTAACAGATATCAAGAAACAAAAATAGACAAGCAGTCAGCCTGGCACTGTTCATCATGCACTGAAAGTAACACTTATATTTTTTGAATGTCAACATCAAAGATGAATTTCAAACAGAATTGTTGCTGCTACACTTAACTTTAGGTGTATTGCATACATGATTTTTGTGATGAATTTTTGAAACATTGCAACATGATATTTCAGCTAAAGAGGGCGCCAACCCCCCTGAGCACCCAATAATTTCCCTCCAAGAAAGAGTATAAGATGGTGGAAAATTTTGAAAGTTGGGTGGCAAGCAGCAAAGGTTAATCAAGTATCAAAATATATCATATGTGAGACTTCAGAAATTACATAACTTAAACTAGAATCGTATCATCAGGATAAGATATGTCACAGCTAACCACGGTTATAAGATCGTTGTTCACTTGTCAATGAGAATTGAGAAAACAATTGATAACTGATAACAACATCCTATATTTTTCTCATTGTGCAAAACAGTACATAAATATGAGAAAACTGAGAATCAATAATACTGTATCCTGTTTTTTCTCTCTCATAGTGCAGTAGATGCAATCAATGTCATAAAATATCTAAATGGTATATGGCCTTTAAATACTATTTAAATCTTATATAATACTCCTACATACCAATTCAGAATTCCTCTCAAAGATGCCTCATGTTTTCGGGTTGGAATAATGCATTTCTTGTTTGGTCTCGGTCAGCCTGTCACTTACTAAAATTAACTATTTAGATTATTTGCATTCTAACATCTTAAGACTACAGTTGTGTATCAGCATAACATACCCTTCCTTGACGAATTGCTGGAAGGATTCTAGCTCCAGTGTCTCCGATAGCATGACTACACAGGCATCTGGGTGCTGCTTGAGTAGACTCTCCAGTCCCCTCTGGTGTCTGATGCCATATGCCCACTGCGGGCTGTTCCACACCATGAACACCCTCATGGAGCACTTCCCATGCTCGAAGAACCTCTCCATGAACTCTGAGAATCCCAAATTTGGTTCGATCCCTGGGAAATATCCCCACCTCCTTCCCTTCTGCAGCTTCTCCTTCACAGTTGTTCCCATGCTCTGCTTGTTCTCGTACGATAGAAGCCTACGCCGCTCAAAGCTCTTGGACGCGGGCTTGTCGAGCTCGGCCAGTAGCATTCGCTGCACCATGCGGTCGCCTTTGGTGAGAGAGGTGAGGCCGGGGCTGTCCGGATCCTGGAGCAGCGGGTGGTTGCGCGGATTGAGGGACTCCAGGTTGGAGCGGAGCATCCGATCGCGCCGTAGGTAGTCGGCCTTCCCCTCCAGCCAGCGCGCCCACCCGGCGCGGAGCCGCGTCTCGGCGGCCTTACCAGAGGCGGGCTTCAGAAGCAGCGCGTCCTCGATACCGGCGATGGACGAGATCTCGATCCGCAGTTCCAGATCCACCAGCTCGTCGTCCGATCCGAAGGCCGCGGCGGCTATCCGGCGCGGGGAGTCGAGGCGCGGCAGCCCCGCGGGTAGGGATTCGGCAGAGGCGGGGAGGCGGAACGGCAGACGAGCGACGCCGGCGACGTGGTCCCAGACGAGGGGCGTGGCGGCCCCCGCCGTAGAGGCGTAGGCGGAGTCGGCCGCGTCGGCGCCCGCGGCGTCCTCGTCCAACACGTCGAGCTCATCGATGCGATCGTCGTCGGGGTTGGCGAGAGAATCGCCCTCGGTGGCGGCGGCGGTGGTGGTGGCGACGGTGAGCAGCGGTTCGAGCGCGGCGGCCACGTCCTCGTCCTCCTCGTCGGCGAGGAGAGCGGAGGAGTTGTTGGAGTCGGCGGCGGGCGTGGAGGAGCGGGAGCGGGAGGCGGATGTCGGGAAGCGGGAGGAGGACGAGGAGGAGAGGCGCGAGTGGAGGACGGCGAGGGAGAGGAGCAGCAGGAGCGCGGCCGCGGCGGCGCAGAGCTGCGGGCCCAGGCCGGAGCGCCGCCGCGCCTGGTTGGAGTGCGTGCGCGGCAACATGTCGGTTCAAGGCGGGGGAGTTGCGACGCCGCTTTCCTCCCCACCTCCCCCGCACCAGCAGCAGCCGCGCGACGGAGGAGGACGTGGGTTTCTTCGTGTTTAAACCACGCCGACGCCTGGTAGCAGTTCGCGCGGCGTCACCAACCGAACTCACCAACCCTCTTTCAGGAAGTTGAGCTGCGACTGCGACTTGTTGGGGACCCTGAGCACTGAACTTGGTTCTGTCAGTGTCAGGACCTCGCTTCGTTCGGCTGGCTGGAAACTGAAAATGTGGACTCTGGCACTCTGCCTGAATCAGAGACTAAGGTTACAAGCTCAGAAAACAGAAACACAGACCAGAAGGTTACAAGTTCAGTTCAGAAACAGAGACTAAGGTTACAAGCTCAGAAAGTCCTAATTCCTATAAACAATACAAACACTATCTTCCAATCGCCATTTTCATCTGACTAACAAGCACTGTGTTCTCGTCATTTGTCAGTTGATCAATCTCCATCGCCCTCGATCTTTGGCCACCCGTTCTCGGCTTGCGACTTGACAAACGAAGCTAGGAGCTTGATGTCATCTTCCGATAGCCGGGGGCCGAAGGTGCACTGTCCTCTTGGGGTGCATTTCTCTCCAAAACCCTGATCAAAACGAAACATACTGCTATTAAAATTCATTTTCTACTCATAAACAAGTAGCTTTTGCTGATTGAAGAACACAAAGGTCAATCATTGCAGAATGCAGAACTGACGGGCATTCGTCCTTTCCCATAGTATGTGATGTTATACAATTCCTCCTCCGTCGCAACTCCATTTCTGCAACAAGTTTGCTGCCTTTGCGTCAGTGACAGGGAGCGGTGAAAAGGCAGCACATTCTTCAGTTTACCGTACGTGAGTGACAGGTTACAAGGCTATACCTCTCGAGATCCTTCAGGAAAAGAGTGGCTCCCTGGGCACGATCGAGCAGGATGGTTAGAACAAACTATGACTAGAACTTGTAAGGGTGCGCTCCGCGCAAGGATTTCAGCGACTCACTGGCTGTAGGATGTTTCCTCCCATGTCATGGCAACCGATACAAGCCTTCCGGAACAGCGCTGCGCCTTCTGAAACTGGTTGCGCAAATGCTGCACCATGGGGCAAAAAAACCACTGATCAGCCTGGATTCCAACTAGTGTGAACGTCCTGTGTAATATGCATTATGCTAGATTCAGCTTTCTTTCTTTCTAGATTAGGCGAGCAAGTTTCAGTATGTGATGATAGAGTTGCTTTCATGCCTGCAGATTGCGGAACAAGCACTTATGTTCTTCAGCTAATTCTATAGAAATCGCACCTTTCCTGTTCATCCACCTCCCCTAAGCCATGTGTGCACTACAGACCCACACCAACCATGCGTGCGTGAGAACCAAGTGCCAACTACCAGTCTGCCACTGTTCAGTAAGTAACCAACAACCAAACCCGAATGACACGGAACAGTAGATATGGTGTCTACAAATTCGAAGAAACCACTAGTACAAGCATCGATTTCACATGTAATTACGCAATGCAGCGAATACACACAACAATAAAAGCAATAGGTTTGTGCATCTTATAACAAGCAAGAACTGGAGAAACCTGGTGAGATAGCAGCAGGCAGGCCAGGGGGTGCAGCTACAAGGAGGAGCGCCGCAGCCAAGAGCGGCGCGGCCTGGAGCGCAGCGACGGCGGAAGGGGCGGCAGCACTTGGGCCTGGGCAAGCCTGCTTTAGGCTGGCGCAGCATGCCGACGACGCTGCCTTCGCCCGAGCAACGGAGGAAGAAGAGAAGCAGGCGCAGTGAGACGGTAGTGGCGGTCGCGCGGCCAAAGGAAGCCCGGACATCGCGCGTGGCGAGCGCCAGCCGTCCTTTGCCCGTTCGCCGTCGCAGGGCACGGCAAATAGAGGCAAATCTAGGAGAGCTGGAGCGTACCAAACTAACAAGCCGACGAGGGACGACGAAGCTGCAGAGTGCAGATAGGCGATTGCCAAGATTGGTTCAAGTGGACGCCACGTGGTTGTTCTACAGATTGCCACGGACTGGGTTGGGTTGGGCCGACATTTGCCCAAATGGACCGGCTTTTGTTGGCCAGGCCGCCAGGGTCAAAAATATTATATTATACAGTAATAAAACGGGTCCTCAATTTAAACCAACTCTTATAAATTGTACGGCCCCACAAAATTCTGAACGTTAGAAACTAGCATTTGAATGGAAGGTAAAAACACTTCAAATCGGCCAAGGTCAAAAAAAATCCAGCAATAAAAACAGGTCCTGAATTTAGACAGACTATTATAAATAAATTGTACAGCCCCCACACAAAATTATGAACGTTGGCAACAAGCATTTGAATGGTGGGTAAAACACTTGAATTTACCGCTCAGTGCTCACTGCCGGTCTGCCACAAGCCCACGACCCACAGGACATGAACAGTGTGCAAACTCACTTGTGAAATCAATACTAATCACAATTCACAATAGAAGGCCCAGATCATCATGATCACACTTCGCAAGCAAAATAGCATAGGCAATAGAAGGCAGTACATGGATTGAGAATTAACAAAACTCTGAATTGGTTTAAACTAGTATCTGTACATGAACAACATCCACAACAAGAAATTACAAAGAAACATAATTAGTTAAACATCCGTACACACCGATTACATTGGACAAAGAGATTTACATGTACAGTAATAGTTTTTAGAGTATTAATTACCAGCAAAAGAAGGATTAGAAAGAAGGATCATACATGAATTCTGCATTTCTGCCTAACAAATAAATCACAGCTTGAACAAAAGGATAGTGTGAGTTACATCAATTTGATCGCGCATAGCAAAAGGAAACTCGCGGCTCGCCCGTTTATGCTACTGCAGTGTTTGTTGCCTCAATTGCTCATCAGCTGCACTTGCGTCAGACTTCTCAACTTGCTAATGGATGAAGCCTTCAGCTCTGATGAATCATATGACAGATGAAGCCTCCACTACCAAACCTACAGCCGTGACAAGTAGAGACACGGCACTCATAGCTAATGCTTTTTTTGAACTCACAAATTATTATTACAGTTAACAATAATGGTATCCCATTGGTACATGGACCGTTAATGCAAATTAACATCTCCTTTTCGCTGTCTCAGAATTGTCCTTACAACAGTTTCAGAGTAGCATAAGCAACATCCCCTTTTCAATGTTTCAATAGTTTCAATGGCTGCCTATTTTCTAGGCATTTAGAATATCGAAGCCCACACAACAAATGCCAAATACTCGCTCCGTTTTGAAATATATAACGTTTTGGACAGGCTAATTAGCTCAGCGTTCATCGTCATATATTTAAAACGGAGGGAGTAATTCAAGTGCAAGTATCAGCTAGGGCAGGCAAGCTTTGCTTGAAGCTGCTCTACACTCTACACTGTTTCAAATCAACAGCAAGCAAATTGCAATTCATGATCTTTTTCCCAATAACACAACTGGAAACTTGTGATCAGAGCATGAATTTCGCATCCAAGCCAAGCAAATGCCAAAACATCTGCATTTTTTTCAGAGCTCATTCCTGCTATTTCACTAATGCTACCTTCAGCACTAATCCCCAATGTGCTCTTTTACACACAATTGGTTGGGGCTCCAATGTTCCATAACAAGATTGTATTTTACAAAATATAAGAGAACTACACATAGTAGAACGAAGACATGTGGCATCAAAGAAAATCGCTGTACGAGCACGACTGTACCGGAAGAGATTCCTCACAGGGATAACAGATTAGGGCTCTTGATGCGCCTCGAGGCAGAGGGCGAGGTCGATGCGCGCCCGCTGGCACTGCTCACGCTTGAGCGCGGTGCCGGCGCTGCCGCAGAGGGTGCGGACGGCGTCGGTCTCGTCGGGGCAGCACGCGGTCACGACGCACTCCGCCAGCGCGCGGTTCAGGTGCCGGCACAGCACCTCCGGCCGCAGCGGCCCGCGGGCGGCGCGGCGGTGGCACTCGGCGAGCGCGCGGTGCGTCGAGGCGCAGGGTCCCGGGACGGGCAAGGCCGTCGATGCGTCTCGGTCGGACTCGTGTTCTCCTCGCCCGCCGCTGCCGCCGGTCATGGAGTCTGGTGGTGGTGGGAGATCGGCGGCCGGCGTGTGATCTCTTTCCCCTTCTGTCGGTTCGTGGTCTCCTGGAGCACCTGGACGCTCGAGAATTCGCCATCGGTTTCTGCCGTTAGGCTGATTCTAATCCAACAAGGGTTTCTTAGAGGCCCAAAAATTATTGGATCGGCCCATGAAAGTTCCTAGTTAAGCCCAGTTATTTACGGATCGTTCCTTACTAAAAAGAGTTATTTACGGATCGGCCCATGATGAACGAGTTCTTCCCTCAGTTGATTCAGGCTGCGCCTAGAGGTCTCTGAGATCACGTCAGCTGCATATCCGCACCGTGTTTTGGTGAGGACCATCCGTACCGAATTTTTTCCCCAGACAACAGATGTGTCATGTGAGTCTCAAAAACAGATGGGTCATGTGTAGTGTGGCAAACGAACGGTATCTCAGATGAGCGCAGGATCACATTTGGGACGAACTCCTCCTTGCAGTCCGCCGATCAACACTCGCACGATATCGGCAGCGCCTCACACCCGGGCCGTCGATGCAAGGGCACCGGCATCCGGCACTGCTGTTCTTAACCAGAAACGTCAAACGTCCCACCGAGGCACCGGAATCCGAGGGAAGCTTTTGTCCCGCGCCCCGTCTCGCCCGCCGGTCGTCCCTCATCGAATGATCACAGGCTTTACCAATCAATCCCAGCCGGACCAACCCCCGTCGGCACCGCCGGCCGCACACGCACGCACATCCCTCCCCATCCCGCCTCCCCGTGATTTTCATTCAAGAAAACCCAAGCCTTTCCCGTCCCTGCCCGAGGATGGGATAGGGACGGAGATGGAGACGACCGGTCGCCTTCGCCTTGTCACGGCTCGCGTCCTTTGATTCCCCCTGCCTGGCCGCGCCAGCAACTGCCTGCAAGCAGACAAACAGACGGCCGCCCTGGCACCCCTCCTCGGTCTCACTCACTCACTCTCACGCACCGGACCCGCGAAGCCAACGGCGAGACCCGGTGCTGCCCCCCGGACCCCAGTCACCATCGTTATCAGCTTCAGCTGAGCCGTCCCCTCTCACTTCGCTTGCCTTGCCTTGCCACGGTTCAGTGACAGTGATCACCGAGTGACTGACGCCTTTCCCGAAACGAAATTATTGGCCGACGACGCGATGCTCCAGGGGATGCTATCCCGCGCGCCCGCCACCGACGCGGCGGCAGCGGCAGCGATGAAGGCCAAGCGAGCGACCGCGTCCCCCGGCGAAGAGGAGGAAGGGGACGGCCGTTCTGTGCGCGGGAAGCGGCAACAGCTGCTTGCGCTTGGCCCCGCCACCGCTTTGGCGTCGGCGGCGGCGGCGGAGGAAGGGCCGGAGACGCGAGGCCTGCGGCTGCTCAGCCTGCTGCTGCGGTGCGCGGAGGCGGTGGCCATGGACCAGCTGACGGAGGCGCGGGAGCTGCTCCCGGAGATCACCGAGCTGGCGTCGCCGTTCGGGTCGTCCCCGGAGCGCGTGGCGGCCTACTTCGGGGACGCGCTGTGCGCCCGCGTGCTCAGCTCGTACCTGGGCGCCTACTCGCCGCTCGCGCTCCGCCCGCTAGCGGCCGCGCAGAGCCGCCGCGTGGCGGTCGCGTTCCAGGCGTACAACGCGCTGTCGCCGCTCGTCAAGTTCTCGCACTTCACGGCCAACCAGGCCATCCTGCAGGCGCTCGACGGCGAGGACTGCCTCCACGTGATCGACCTGGACATCATGCAGGGCCTGCAGTGGCCGGGGCTCTTCCACATCCTCGCCTCCCGCCCGCGCAAGCCGCGCTCGCTCCGGATCACCGGGCTCGGCGCGTCGCTCGACGTCCTTGAGGCCACCGGCCGCCACCTCGCCGACTTCGCGGCATCCCTCGGCCTGCCGTTCGAGTTCCACCCCATCGAGGGGAAGATCGGGCACGTCGCCGACGCCGCGGCGCTCCTCGGCTCGCGCCAGCAGCGGGACGACGAGGCCACCGTGGTGCACTGGATGCACCACTGCCTCTACGACGTGACGGGGTCGGACGTGGGCACGGTGCGGCTGCTCCGGAACCTGCGCCCGAAGCTGATCACCATCGTGGAGCAGGACCTGGGCCACAGCGGCGACTTCCTGGGCCGGTTCGTGGAGGCGCTGCACTACTACTCGGCGCTGTTCGACGCGCTGGGAGACGGCGCCGGCGCGGCCGAGGAGGAGTCGGCGGAGCGGCACGCGGTCGAGCGGCAGCTCCTGGGCGCCGAGATACGCAACATCGTGGCCGTAGGGGGACCCAAGCGGACCGGGGAGGTGCGCGTGGAGCGGTGGGGCGACGAGCTGCGGCGCGCTGGGTTCCGGCCAGTGTCCCTGGCCGGGAGCCCTGCCACGCAGGCCAGGCTGCTCCTCGGCATGTACCCGTGGAAGGGGTACACGCTGGTGGAGGAGGACGCGTGCCTTAAGCTCGGGTGGAAGGACCTCTCCCTGCTCACCGCGTCGGCGTGGGAGCCGGCGGACGACGCTGCCGCCTCTGCGCCCACCACCACCAGTTAACGAGTACAGGACAAGATTTTGCAGCTGCTAGATTGGGAATTCAATTCCATGCCTGCTGCTAGTCTCGCAGCCCTCCTTGGCGGCCTGGCCGTCTTCTCTTCTTGCTACCTCCCTGCTCGTGCAGGTTTTTTTTGTGAGTTGGTTTTTGTGATATATAATCGTATAGGCTTCGGCATTCGTTCTCCCTACCTCCAGTTTCAAATCAACTTTGAATTTTGAATATTTAGTATACTGCAGATTTGAGTCAGAGAATTGCAAAATGGGCACATCATCATCTGCAGTCGACAGTCCTGCTGATAAACTGGAGATTCGGTGGGGTGAGTTCCCCAGCTGGGAGGGAGGTCAATATAGGTGATACTGTGCAGAAGAAGTTGTCTTCGCGTTACGCGGTCTGGTCCTGTCAGTTTACTAGTTCGAGCAAACATCATCCATCTCCTTCTACAGTCCGGGTGTCCCAGACTGTAAATAGACAGCTCCAGCCGTCGGCCGTCTATCTGCAATGGCTAACGAGTTTACATATCAGTTTCCCGGCGGCTACACAACGCCGCCTGTGAAGATGACAAGTTTACTGATCCGAAAGTGACTGCCTCCACGTACGCGGGCGTGGTACGCGTGAGGAACCGTTGTGGCGTTGTTCCTGGCTCCGATAGTTCGATGTTAACCTCCCAGTTTCGTTCTCCGGATGACCACGACAGACGATGATGATATGTCGCCTCGGACCCTCACGCACTCACCTCACTTCACTTCACGGACGGACACGCAAGAAAAACATAAATGCACGAGGAGAAATAAAGGGATGCTGCCTGGGCCTGGGCCTGGGCCTGAGCCTATTCTTCGATCAGCCCATGTCTAGCCGAGGTCTTTGTTTGTCGGCCCTTTTCTCCTTTCCGAATTATACACGTCCTTAAGATGTAGAAGAGGATATTTGGGCCTTAACCCAGAAAAATCAAAGAAAACATTATAGGAAAATAGAATGACAGTAGTATAGTTCATCAAGAAGCTAAAAACAGCTGTTCGTACAGTTGGATGATTACACGTTAGGCCATTTTGGATGCTCATGTATCAACTCAATCAATGTGTGTTAGAATGGGTTGGGGTGAAATTTAAACTAACGAGGTGTTCGGCTGATGGTTTCTGCGGCTGATAAGCCGGCTGATGCCGTTTTATTGTGAGAGAAAAATATTGTACCATGGCTGATAAGCGGGGCTGATAAGTATGGCTTTAAATTCCACCGTATCCCACTACAACACACATGGATTGAGGGGATACATAGGCATCCAAACAAGCCTTAAATTATTAATTCAGCCCACAATGCACGCGTGCAAACTAGTAGTAGGTACGTGAAGGATGGTGATCGATAACAAACGTCATGTTCGTTTGGCCTTGTTTGGCTTATAAGCCATGGCTGAAAGTACTGTTGGCTGGTTTAGTGTGAGAGAAAAATATTGTTCATTGACTGATAAACCATGACTTATAAGCCAAATACGATCGAGCGAACGGGCTGAAATTCGAGTGCCGGAGGTCAATGAAACAACCAACAGTTCTATAGCTTTTTCCCTAAAGTATACAGTAGTGTATAACCAAGCTCCCATGTGAATTAACTATGCTAGCTTTTAGAGCGAATTAACTGTTTATTGGAGTTGCTCTCAGCTTAGTCAATAACTAACTTGTTGAACCTAATAGCTCTTTGGTAAACTAGACCCATAACTAACTAATGGGCCTGGTCCCATGCCACACAGAGCTATAAGATAGGAACTCTGTGATTAGAGAGTAACGCGAATTAGTTCTAACCAAAAACCTAAGAACTACCGATCAAGATGGCTCGGGAGTGATGCTGCAGGCCAGAGACCAGCCACCGCCCCTCTGCTGGTGACGGCATCTTCCATCTCTACACCAACCTCTTAAGTTCAAGAAATAAACCTATGCTAGGCACATTTTAAACTTATAATCCTAGTTGTCACTCAAAGAGAACTTGCACATAACAAGTTAAGCAAGAAATAATACAAGAACGAGAAAAAAAGGGCAAAGAGACAATCAGATTTTTCCTATGATATCTGATTGTGACCACAACCCCCTAATCCACATTAGAGCACCAAGAGTCACCAAGACTTGTTAACGTCCCATCTACCAGTGAATGTCCATTCTCCACTCCGGAATCGCGACCTTCAAGTCCATATACACATTTTGGAGCCTCCTCAACAAGAACTCCACCGTGGAAGGTCACCAAGTCCTCCACAGGACCGTTTAGGTGATAGGCTGATAGCAATCACCAAGAGACATATACAAGCATAAGCTGCTGTACCCATGACCCATGAGACAATAAGTAACTCGCAGATCAGCCTCATGAATTTCAGTATTGTATGCATGAGTTAGTTTAGAACCTCTTTGTCTGAAAAAATAGCACTGATTTCAGCTATTGTAAATTCTGCAATGGTAGTGGACTTCATTATAGGTTGTCTGAAATTATCGATGAAATTAGCTCAAATAACTTAGTGATCCAGGCATCCAGCGAAGGATGCATTCAGTCAGGACAAGCAGAGATTGATTTATCTAAGCTGAACTAAAATCACTGCAGGACCAATCCAAGGACACCTGCTCCAGATGCTCCCACCCTCAGGCTTGCTGGATTAAACAAGGGATCCTATCTCAGAAAACGCCTGATGGGGAGCGAACCAGCCTCGCCTTCTATGCCGAGAGCCATACTTATGCGGGATGGCGAGCTCGGGATTTTGGAGAACGGGTTACTTGGAGCGATTTTTTAAGATTTTTATCGATGGTTAGTGGATAGAGCAGCAGCAGCTCTTGGAGATGTTCTCATGCATCTACGCTAAAAATGGCAGTGCATAAAAGCGTTTTGGTACTCGGAACTTGGAAGGTGACACAAAACATGCACCTGTGAGCCTTTCTAGCCCCGTGCATCCCTCAAATTCTTGGTCTGTATGTTACCATGCTTGTTCCCCCGTGCTGCCCGCCTCTGACACTCCGCCTGTTTTTGTTCACAGCCAGACCTGAGCTAACAACCGACGTGACCGAGGCCGGCCGGCCGGCGCCCGGTGCCGTCTATCCGCGTGCTTCCTGCTTCCTATCACATCGAAGTACACCAAGTCCTTGTCCGTATCGATCCCTACTCGTTCTCCGCGTTTTCCTATATATAAACGCGCGCGCGTAAGCGCATCGCCGAGTCCGTCCCACCCACGAACTTCGACGAGTTTTGGTTGCGCCTGGGCTGGGCGTCGCAGGATCGATCGCGCAAGCGAGGACCGAGGATGAGCTACTACAACCAGCAGCAGGCGCCCGTGACAGGTACGGTGATCCTCCACGAGCTCCGGAAACTTTGTTTTCTCCTGCGACTTCGGCTTTGATCAATGATCACAGCTGAACTGACCGGATGTTTTTTCCGTCGCCAAGCAGCGTACCCGCCGGCGGGGCAGCCGTACGTGCAGCCGCCGCCGATGCAGGCGAGCTACGTGCAGCCCGCGCCACCGCCGGGGTACCCTGGCAGCTACAATGGTGGCATGATGAACCCTCCGCCACTTCAGGTGGTGGCGCCCCAGACGCAGAGCCGCGGCGACAAGACCTTCTGGGAAGGATGGTAAGCTTCGTGCCTTTCGATTTTGATCGCACCGTACATATTGTGATGATCCGCTGACCCCCACTCGCCGCTATGGTTGCCTTGCAGCTGTGCGGCCCTCTGCTGCTGCTGCATCCTGGATATGTGCTGCTAAGTAAAGCCCAGCGAAAGCAGTAGTACCGAACCACGGCATGCTCTCTCCAAAGTCTCCATTTGTAATTGTCACAAGAGTCCGTTCGTGCCTAGAGAATAATTAGTGTGTGATACTACCTGTAACGTTACTCACGTACCATCAATTTCATTATGTTGGCATGAGGTTTGTATTTGTGAATTGGGATACACGTATGAAGGTAATAAAGAGTTACTCCCTCCATTTCAAATTTTAAGATTTTTGGGTTTCTCAAAATTTATTTAGCAACTAGTCACACAACTGCGATATCCAACGACGCGCGCGCAGTGGTATGGAGGCCATGTGCCCATGTACAGGACTCAGCCCCTCTCTTCTTCCTATATCCTATATCCGGCGGGCTTAGAAAGGAGGTAGGGGGAGGAAGGCAGGCTCGGCGATGGGGACGGGAGAGACGGCGACGGTGTTGAAGCTGTCGGAGCAAGTGGCAGCGGCGGCGGAGGTGGCTGAGCAGGACTGGGGAAGGAAGGGAAGAAGGAGCTCGCCACGGGCGCGGTAGGATCTTGATAGAGTTCCGAGGCCACGACAGCGGCCATAGTAGGACTCCTTTGGATTATCTAGATACGTGCTTTTACTATGCATTTAGACATAGTGTATATCTAAGTGCATAAAAAAACTATATAACTAAAAAACGAAAATATTTTATAATTTGAAATGAAGAGTATCTTGCAGACAGACAATCTCAGGGAAAAAAACAGATAAGCCACATGGTACAATAATAACGACCATAATTACCAACGGTATTTCTGGGTTCCTTTTTTCTTATCTTGAAGGCAACGATGTTTCACGGTTCTGAGTTCTGCCAACTGTGCAGGATAATAAAACTTTAAATAAACGATAACAACATCTACAACGAAGGCCTGAGCAGTTCTTAACTCTCAGGGTCAGTGAAGTAAACGGGGCTTTCTAGATCATCGTTCTTTGCAGTGTAAAACGTGAGGGAACGAGATGACCTTTTGGGTCTCTCGGCTGCGTGTTAATATAGGTGAGGAACTGCCCCTCACGTGGCTTACAAGATTAGATTACAATGAGTCAAGGTTGTTGCAACTAACCAGCTATACATGCTCTATCTTAACAACAACATGCTAACAACCTTGAGGATACACCATGTGTCTAGATACACGCCTAGATACAAGATAGCAACACAAGCCGAGTCAATCTACATCTTTAACACTTCCCCTCAATCTTAGCCACTAACAAGGCCAAGATTGCTTCTAAATTGCTTCAACTTGACAACAGGTACTGCTTTGGTGAAACCATCAGCAAGTTGATCAGCAGAATTTATAAATCGAATATCTAGCAACTTGTTTGTCACCCGTTCACGAACAAAATGAAAATCAATCTCTATATGTTTTGTTCGAGCATGGAAGATAGGGTTTGCTGACAAGTACTTTGCACCAAGGTTGTCGCACCATAATCTTGCTGCTGAAGGATGCTGAATCCGCAACTCTGTCAACAATTTTTGCACCCACATCATCTCAGCAGTTGCATTTGCTAATGCCTTGTACTCGGCCTCAGTGCTGGACCGTGAGACAGTCGCTTGCTTCCTTGCCATCCATGAGATGAGGTTGCCACCCAAGAAGACAGCAAAGCCGCCTGTAGACCGGCGGTCATCCACACACCCCGCCCAATCGGCATTAGAGAATGCACTGACCAGTGTAGAGTTGGAGCGCTTAATCTTGAGTCCAAGCTTAATAGTACCACTCACATACCGCAAGATTCTTTTGACAGCACTCCAATGAACTGTGGTCGGGGCATGAAGATATTGGCACACTTTGTTGACAGCAAAGGAGATATCAGGCCGGGTAAGAGTGAGGTACTGCAAAGCACCAACCACACTTCTATACCGTGTTGAATCATCAGGACCAAGTGGGTCACCAGCAGTAAGACTAAGCTTCTCTGTAGAGGAAAGAGGCGTGTCGACTGCCTTAGCTTTATCCATACCTGAACGGGACAAAACATCAGCTGCATAGCGCCCTTAAGAGAGAACAAGTCCATCCGATACTTGCTTGACCTCAATTCCCAAAAAATAGTGCAAATTGCCCAAGTCCTTGAGAGCAAAGTCTCGCTGCAGATCCTTGAGAAGCGCCTCGGTCGCTTGAGAAGAGGAGCTAGCAACAATAATATCGTCAACATAGACAAGAACAAACATACTGTATCCACCACGATTGTAGAAAAATAGTGAGGTGTCCGCCTTGGATGCCACAAAACCAAGTGATTCCAATCTTTGACACAACCTAGCATACCAAGCTCGTGGAGCCTGTTTTAAACCATAGAGTGCTTTATCAAGTTTGCAAACATATGTAGGATGACTAGAATCTGCATACCCTGGGGGCTGTTGCATGTAGACTTCCTCCTCCAAGAGACCATGGAGGAAAGCATTTTGTACATCGAGTTGTCGAAGTGACCATCCCTTGGACACGGCAATAGAGAGGATAAGTCGAATGGTTGCAGCTTTGACAACTGGACTAAACGTCTCTTCATAGTCTATGCCATATTGTTGCTTGAACCCCTTTGCTACTAACCGTGCCTTGTAACGATCAACAGTCCCATCTGCCTTGCGCTTGATCTTATAGACCCACTTGCAACCGACAATATTTTTCCCTTTGGGACGTGGTACAAGATGCCACGTTTTATTTGTCATCAATGCTTTGTATTCTGCATCCATAGCCGTGACCCAATGCTTGTGACTGAGTGCCTCATCTACAGTTGTTGGTTCACCTGTTGGGACCTTGGCATGCATACACCATCGAACAGTTCCATTAGTACGTGATTTAGGTTTTGAAATACCTTGAGAAAGGCGTGTAGACGGACGCTCAGAAACAGTCTCAGGAGCAGCAGCCGCAGTGGATCCCGTGGAGAGAATCTCGGTCGGTGCAGCTGTCCCCCCGGTGGGATCCGTCTGTGGCTCGGCATGTGGCAGTGGAGAGATGCATGGCGCGGAAGAAGTCGCAGACGATCCGGAGCTGCTTCCGGAGGACAGAGAATGCGATGGTGGATTGGTGGACTCCGATCCCGGAGACGATGCGCCGGCGCCAGATGACGTCGAATCCAGCGTAGGCGGATCGTGCTCCAGGCGAGCGCTGACTCCTGCCGGGGAACACATGAAATGGCCCGGTAATATGGTGGTGATACGCTGCGTTTCTTCACCATTTGAGCCAGGATTTTCACCTGCAGAGTCTGTAGCATCAATAGAACTTGAAAATCTGTTAGTGGAGGCAGGAGACGGCGTATGTTGGTGTAGCAAAGTTATGTTCCCGAGGCTAGTAGATGATGAAGAAAAAAGATCGGGTAAAAGCTCAATCTCTTTGCGGAGTCTTGCACCGGCATTAGGGTGAAGAGATGCAAAAGGGAAAACATGCTCATCAAACACCACATCGCGAGAGCTGTACACACGCCCATCCTTGGGATCAAGGCATTTATAGCCTTTGTGAAGGGAACTATAGCCAATGAAAACACACTGCTTGGAACGAAAGGCTATTTTTCGAGAGTTGTAGGGCCTGAGATTCGGCCATACAGCGCACCCAAAAGTGCGAAGAAAATTGTAGTCTGGTTTTTGTTTGAACAACTTTGCAAAAGGAGATTCATCCTCAATAACCTTAGAGGGCAGTCTATTAATGAGATAGACTGCAGTGGAAACCGCCTCATCCTAAAATTTTAGTGGCATAGACGCATGAGCAAGAAGAGTGAGGGCCATTTCGACTATGTGACGGTGTTTGCGCTCAGCAGAGCCGTTTTGTTGGTGAGCATGGGGGCAAGATACTTGGTGAGTGATGCCTACACGCTTGAAAAAGGAGTGCAAAGCTTGATACTCCCCACCCCAGTCAGTTTGGATGATTTGTATCTGGCGGCCAAATTGCCTTTCGACAAGGCTTTGAAATTCATGAAAAATAGAGAAAACTTCAGATTTGTGCCGCAATAAATAAAGCCAAGTAAATTTACTATGGTCATCAATGAAACTAACATAGTATGAATATCGTCCAACAGAACTAGGAGCAGGCCCCCATACATCTGAAAAGACTAGGTCCATAGGACTAGCCGACACACTTTTGGACTTGGGATAAGGCAACTGATGGCTCTTGCCTTGTTGGCAAGCGTCACACACTCTATCATTATTGGAATCATGAAAAAAAGACAGCCTATGGCGATCTAGGACTTGCTTGACAACTCGTGAAGAAGCATGACCCAAGCGATGATGCCACAAGGACACTGGTAACTTGGAGATGCCAAGAGCTTGTTTATTGGGTGGAGACGATGATAATGATTGCAACGGGTAGAGCCCTCCTCTACATCTGCCTCTGTGGAGGGTTCTCCTCGTCCCCTGTTCCTTAATCAAGAAATGATCCGAATGAAACTCAAGATATACATTATTGTCTTTGGCAAGGCGATTAACGGAACAAAGACTTTTATGTGCTTGAGGAACATGAAGAATATTATTAAGATGGAGAGATCTACTAGGGGAACATAAAATGTTATGACCAACATTAGCGATCTCCATACCTGTGCCGTCAGCAGCATGAATCTGGTCACCGCCATGGTACTTGTTGCGCATAGTCAGTGTCGATGCGGGACCCACAGGATACCCCGCAAGAGAGAGAGAAGATCTAGTTCAACTAGGATTCTTCCCATGTAATCTTAATAATAGAACTATTAAGTAATCATACTAGGAAATCTCATTGTAAACCGATTAGGACTCTGGCCTCCTGAATATATAAAGGAGGGCAGGGCTCCTAAAGAAGAAGGACAATGGTACGACATAACACTTCATAATCAATCCAACGCAAAAGGCAAACGCTGACTGGACGTAGGGTTGTTACTCGATCTTCGATCGAGGGCCTGAACCAGGATAAATCGACTGTCTCTTGCGTTTACCATCGAGTTCAGCATACGCCGAAGCCCGAACATACTGCCCCGGGTACCCCCGTGGCAGGCTATCGGTGATAAAACATCGACAGTCAGGCGTTCCA